TCAGTGACCCCGGACACTACTACCAATGAAATATCAAACCAAACCAAGCCTTTATAGTAGTGAGGTATCAAAATTCGAACTGGTGAATTAGACATCTATCGCAAGATAAAATACCAGAGAGCGATTGGTTTGAGTAAGAATGCAGGTTGTGAGATAATAAAAAAGGAAACCCCACAATCTTCCTTAACTTTTACAGGTTTTTAGAAATTTCACAATCTTTTCTGACTCATTGAACCCCTCTTTCCGATTCTTCAGGTTTCCCTGAAATGTGGCCATTTTGGATATAAAATATATACACATCACTGAAAACCAACAACAAGTATCAATGAAATGCTACCTGTCTCCAGATGGTAAGTGTGACTTCTGATATGGAACACCCAACTCCCCTTCTGAAAACCTGATAAAGGAACAGTAGCCATCAGTGGATGAAGCTATTAACATGAGTCCATCAGAAGACCTAACCAAAACAGAGAAAACAAACCATTATTTCAGAACATGAAACTTATAATGCATCATCAAGTTGTAGTCAGTTAAACAAATTAGATATCAGGTTCATAAAATCAACATTTTTTTTATTACATTATGTATCAGGAAACTTAGAATGGACACAAGAATGTTCTAATTAAATTAGATTGAACCATTTAGCTATGATCAATTTTATATTTAATTGAGATGAAAAACACTGAAAATGTTTAGCTTTTAACACCAACTTTATCATTCATCGGCTCCAGAGTTATACGAACCAAAGCTCACTACACCATAGGGATTACTCATTCTGAGCTGATATTAAAACAAAAGTCAAGATGATAAACTACTTATGTACTAAACTGCTCATGGGTCCATGAATTTCAGAGTCCCTAATATATTATAAGCTATACACCATTTTTCATGAAATAACTTCAATGTTAGAATTAATCCGTTAATTACTGTTGGGGTTTGCATAGCGCGTGTGGAGACTTTTTTCTTGGAAATCGTATCAAGTTGCGTATGCAAACGGTGCAGTTTCTTAACCCTTAACTATTCTTTACCATAGAAACTTAGTGAATAATACATTGTACTTTTACCTGTTGCTATGCTCAAGAGTAAAGAACTGTGATGAAATAACTCATTTTTATACAAAATACATAAGAAACCCCAAGTTGCATATCAAGTTGCGTATGCAAACGGTGCAGTTTCTTAACCCTTAACTATTCTTTACCATAGAAACTTAGTGAATAATACATTGTACTTTTACCTGTTGCTATGCTCAATAGGAAAGAACTGTGATGAAATAACTCATTTTTATACAAAATACATAAGAAACCCCAAGTTGCGTATCAAAATACATAAGGGTATAATATTTTCCAAGTCCCCTGAAAAACCAGTCAGCTCTCTGGGGCTAAACTTTAATTAAGTCTGCTAGTTCGTTAAAACACAAGATATATTAACTGTTTATCTTTAATCACCAAATAAAACAGCAATGATAGTATAAAATAAAAACATAAAATATGTATACTTCTGGAGATAAAAATATCAAACAAAATTTTTTTGTTGTCATTACGCTTACTCCCTTTTCTCATTACTGAATTTAGCCTGCATGACCCTCAGGGGTCATAGGTTGACCTTGTAAGTACATTTTCTGTATTTCTTTCACTTGTTTTCATTTAACCCCACCCCCTCAAAAAAAACTTATTTTAGCCTCCTAAGAAATCTATTAACGTTTATACTGCAGAATTGGCCATGTTCTTTTTGTAAAAATTATCTACAAAACATTTTTTTTTTCAACCAACTTAAACCTCTTGTGTTTGTATATTTGTTTTTATATAAACAAACCTTAAGTTAAAGAAAATAAAAGTTATTATTGAGAAATGACCTCTTTTATTCTGAGATATTTTTCAACTTCAATAATTTTTTTTACACAAAGAAAAGGTAGAACCACCTACCATGCCACATCGCTTAGCCGAGTGAAGTGAATATTGGAGATTTTGGCAAACGGTAGTGTCTGCTGAGTGTCATAAAGCAGAAGAGAGTCCTGTGTAGCAACAGCAAACACCACACGATAAGGAAGACTGAAAACAGATCCATTGAGGGTTTAAATAATCGTACGTAACTATATTAAGACAACTGTATAGTGACATTCTAGATGACTTAGAATTTTTATCGCTAACCTGCATGTAGCTGGTTTAGGCTTAACTTAAATTACTGACTTCGAAAGATAGCACGGGAAAAGCTGGTCATGCATTCTATCATAATATTGATAACTTTAAATGTAAGGAAACAGGGATCTAAATAAGTACATAGTTTTTCTGGAATAGGTACCTTTCAAATACAGTAGCTTCATAAATTAAATGTCAGTTAACCTCAAAAGTCTTATTAATGAAACATAAGGGCTTGATCATTCCAGACCAAAACTGACTTGTCAAACACACTGTAATGAAAGGGGAAAATTCAATCAAAGAAATTTGAACAAAAAAGGTAAGGACAACATTTATAATACACAATAAAACCCTCATTTAACCGACAGCCAACAATAAAAAGAGTCCCGATGATAGCAGCATAAATCCACCAAAACAAGAAGAGTCTTTTTAATGTTGACTGTTAACCAAATTGTGTTTATGTTAATGTTGACTGTTATTTTAAACTTATACTTCTGCTTTTAAATTTAAGCTTTATATACACGTTTCATAATAAAACGGATTTTCTATACTATATTCTCTTCTAACTATTAACTCCAGAGTGTTAATGCAACATTAACAAAGAGTTTTAGTGTTAGAGAACGATGTACTCTAACACTTTCCTCCTCATAACCAAGTTCTGAAAAAAGAACAGTATAAGTTTACAATATTCACATTTGTGATAAAACCAAAAAAAAAGAGCTAGAAATTAAAATGTTTTAATGATTGATTTTTAAAGATTTTCTGTAAATGATTTAAATTTATGACAGAGTGCATTTACAATCTTTTGTAATTAGTTGAAGGGTACTGGATTGCTTATCTTACCTAAACACTGACAAACTATCTTTTTCTGAACCCTCTTGCTCCGTATCTGAAACCCAGACATAAATTTTCTTTAGTTACAAAACAGTGAAATTGGAAAGAAACATGGATGAAAATATCCAAAGTTCATTTTGAATAAAACAAATCTATTGGCCGAGGGCTGCCAGGCAACCAAAGCCTTAGAGCTATACATGTTCTCAGATGTATTCTCATCCATTTTGAATATCTTTCAGTACCAAATTTTAACTTGAATTTGTAGAAAATAAGAAGAAATTCAGATATCTCAAATTTTCATGCTACAAGGTGATAATCACATGAGGCAGATTAAATTTTTTAAACATTAATACCGAGACTGTAAGTCAAATTAGTTTTTTAAAACCTCAATTGCACATAAAAAACATATCACTGAATTAACTAATTATGCCCCTTTTCCTAGTACAAATGAAATGGTTGGAAGTTTAGAAAAATAAAGATTATAGCAGTGTTGGCAGTAAAACATAAAATGTGTTTATTTCAAATTAAATTAAATTTAAATCCTGCTTCATACTCATGATTCGGAAAGGCCATTTTGACGAGTTTCTGTCCACGGATGGAGAACTTTCATCCGTGCAAAAAAATGATTACTCATAAACTTTTAAAACATGAAAAATCTACAAAATATGGCTTGTTTTACAGATACAAAAAGTAGCATCACATAAGTTGATGTCAGAGACAGAAAGTTGAGAGAATTTTTTTAAAGGTGATTTGTTATGATAACAGGTCCCATTGTTGTGTAGGTGAAACTTAATAGAATGCTTGTTAATAACAGTTAACTTCTGAGAGGCTTGATAAAACAAAAATGATGTACTAAGCAACTTTAACAGTCATAGTGTTAAACTGACTTGTTTCACCTGAAACATTTAACGGTGTTAAGGTATAACATTTAATGACATGTTAAGCTGTAACATTTAATGATATCTTAAGTTACAACATTTAACAGTGTTAAGCTACAATATCAAACGTGTTAAGCTACAACATTTAGCGACACGTTAAACTACAACATTTAATGATGTCTTAAGCTACATTTAGCGACGTGTTAAACTACAACATTTAACGATGTCTTAAGCTACAACATTTAACGATGTCTTAAGCTATAACATTTAATGATATCTTAAGTTACAACATTTAACAGTGTTAAGCTACAATATCAAACATGTTAAGCTGCATTTAATAATGCCTTAAGCTACAACATTTAATTTAAAGATGTGCTACCCTACAACTTATGTATGTAAGTTGGACTATAAAATTTAAAGACGTGTTAATTTACAACATTTGAAGATGTGCTAAACTACATCTTTTAAAAATGTTAAATTGAAAGACGTAGCTACAACACTTAAAGGTGAATAACACACAAGTTGTCCCGTGTTAAACTGCAATTTTTAAACACATGTTTAAGCTGCATACAAAACGAAAAATTCACTGTTTAAACAAGTGTTTCTTCTTCATATTTATACTGAGAGTCCAACATAGAATCTTCGATTTTCTTGTAAATATGACTATTAAATGAGAGAATTTCGGGTAGCTAAGAAAAACATAATAAGATTAGAGGGTACGTAGTAATACTCGTAACACTGAGAGCACACTTTATGTGTGTACATGTTAACTCTGAAAATGGGGTGAAATTTCTCCTCACCAGGTGATAGAATTCCGTTCTTTCTCTTCTTTCTGAGTTCAAACAGAACGGGACAGCAACGTACTGCTAAAGTAAACTTATTACCTGTTGGTAAGTACATCACCGGCCTGAAAATAAAACAAATACACACAGACAAACTGAATAAACACACAATTTAAATGTTGAGTGGCCATAAAATCAAAACTGTAATTTCATCCGACACTTCCAGACCAAAAAAAATGTCATTTTTAAGGGAGTGAAAAAGTATAATCCAACCAATCGGGCACTGACATCTAAACATTAAACCAACGTGGTTCACTAACGGACTTTCATTCTTCTGGAGTCATTAACACTAAAGGTATTTTTCACCAATTTCTTAAAACATATTCCCATTTCACCGTCATTTTTTTTTACATCAAGTTTCCTGTAATTCCAAGTTCTACGGCTAACCGATAATGAGCAATGACTGTTTACGGAGCAAGTTATCCTTTTATCGTGTGGCAACTTTTTTCTTTGTAAAATTCAACCATTTTGTGAATAGAAAAGTTATTTTCTAACTGTTCATGTTTGTGACTTTCCAATCAAGATTGCACTGAATTTCAACAATCATGAGGGTAGTTTTGTACTAGAACAATAAATATGATTATGTGGCAGCTAAAAGTTGTTTCACTTTTTTTAACTTCACAATTGTAGGTAATTACTTTATTTTGTGGGGTCATGTATGGGGTAGCATTTCATTCTTTGGGGCCACGGGTACTTTAAAGTCTTTTTAACCAGGCTTTTGATAACATTTTTAACACTTATGAAAAGCTACACAAAGACTATCTCTGCTAGCTGTCCCTAATTCTGAAGTAATAAGCTAGTCATCACCATCTACTTTCAACTCGGAAGTTACTCTTGTCTGACAAAATATTGATATTTGCCCATCATTCATATAACACGCCCACAGCTCCAGAGTCTGCATTTAGTTAATTAATTATCGAACAATGAACACGACAAGATTATTTTCTCCGATCAAATTAATCAATAAAATGAAAATATCACCTGTTTAAAGAGTGGCGACAAAAAATGTAGACAGCGTTGGAGAATTTTCCATCTTCTTGTTCAAGTATTCCCGTTGGGACAATAAGTAATTCTCCGTCTGGAGAGAACGTAAGTCGCCGAGAGAAGGACTTCAGAGTGTCATCGTAAAATATCCGAGTTGGTTTATTCTGTTTGTTTGTCACCGAACCAGTAATAAGGATGGGGAGAAAAACATATCAACATATTTATAGGCACACAAATATATACATAAAGATATTTTTATAAGAAATATATACAGACTAAATGGATATTTTTGAAATAAACTAGACTTTTTGACAAGCTATAAGAAAAACCGGTTTAATTTTTTTTCTTAGTTTACAAGATTAAAAAAAAAGCAAAAAAAGTTTAGTATATAGAGAAGAGTTACTACTTTAAACTACAATGACAAAATTTTCAGTCTTAACAACTTAGAAAAAACAAATATATATAAACATTAGAAATTGTTTTACTTTAATATTTCATAATTTTGTTCCCAAAAATTCTAATTTAAAAAAACATCTCCAAAGAAAGGAATAAAAACTGAAGGAAACATCTCCATACTCAGCAATAAAAACTTCAAAAATATAATTTCTAAATAAGAATTAGATTGAAGTATTAAATATTTAAGTGTGCCAGTTTTTACCAAAATGTGTTTTATTTCCAAATTTATGTATAAGAATCTCGGCGTGCTCACCTCTTCTTGTGACTTTTCTGATGGTATGAGAGCTTTCTGGATTTTGTAAACTACCCGTTTTGTCTGAATATTGTATATCCTCAGAGTTCTGTTACGATGAGAAAAAATTAATTGTTGTAAAGATTAACAGCTTTATAAGCATAAATTAAGCAACAAATATATAAAAACATGAAGATGATTACTTACCCTGACTAGTTTCAATGGACCATGTACGTCATTTTCAAGGGTATACTGTGTGCGTACAGTGACACACAGCAGGTTTTGTTTTCTCTGCATGATTTCTTCATACCTATTCTGTTGAAAACCCATCTCATTGTTTATGAAATTGTCTGCATTCTGTGTATTTCAATAGCTTTTGTTTCTGTGAATTTGATTGTGTGGGCATTTTGGTGGCGACAGCTGATTCTTCTATTTCCAAACGGTGGAAACGATCTTCATGTTCTTTTATTGTCACATTCAATGACCGTTTAGTTTAGTATGTATACTTTGTTTGCACGAGCAGGAGCAAGCAAATTCCCATGTAATACACCGTTGTGCTTTATTAAATGATAAATAAACATTTAGTACTTATCTTAACATAGGAAAAATTATTCATTGAACTGCTATCAGAGAGAAATAAATTATATATATTTGATAAGCCCCCTATCTTTGTGATGTAAAAAAATTATGCTTATGTACTTATAGTGCAGGTGATTATGGTATTTATGGAGTTGTTTACAGTGTACAGTCTTGTAGAAATGACAGTCTTTTGGTTAAGTATTTGGCTATGGAGTAAGTTGGACTGTTACTGTGTGTGATGATAGGTCTAAAAGGTATCTCTTCTTTGTGCAATTTGGATAAACAGTAAAATCTTGGGGAGATGGCGTTGGAAGGTATTATCTTTCTTATTTAGATAAGAATTTAATGCTCTTTATTAATTAAACAAAAACACCAGTGTACGAAACACCACAAAATTAATTAAGTTAACTTTAATAACACGACACATGCAGTAAGAATATACTGTAAAATCTTTGTTGTCACGAATCTCTCATAACTGGAGTTTTCAATATGTTAGTGGCACTGTTGCGGCTTTGTATACGTTTTTCAGCTGTTAGCCCCCTGTACTGTGATCCACATTTCAAATACTGTACTAACATTTTTTGTATATAGTTTAAGGTTTTTTACATTTATTATCATTTAAAAGTGTTATTGTCATAGATGATGTACAAATACTGTACTTTAGACCATTAACAAAATTTTTCCTGTAAAATATCGTAAGAGAAACGTTTTTGCAACCAGAATTTTCACCTACTTGGCACTGTCAAGGTCTGGCAGATGCCAGATGATAAAGCTTTTAGTGTACTGGTATTTTTAACCGGAATTACTCCTTCAGTGACATGTGGGCTAAATGAGCAGGGAACATTCAGGCATAGTCATTCTCAGTTTAGAAGTGCTAAGTAGGAGCAGGTAACCCCTCGGTAGCAGCTGCCGCCTATAGGGCTTGGTTCTAGTAAGAAAAGAACTGGACATCCTTCGTGATTTGTATTTCAAATTTATATCTTTTGGATGAAATGGCTCATATTTTCACTTTGGACGGTGTCTTATGCACTATATGGGCTAGATTAGACTCGTCTAAGTTCCAAAAACACTCACCTTCAATTTAAACCTGATGACAAAAGGGAGGGAAATTAGCCATACGTTAGAATGGACTGTTTTAGCTGAAACTGTGGAACGTCTTCTGCACGATAATCAGTAAGCCAAGAGCTGTCGTTACAGAACAAAGAAATCCTTTACGTATCTGAGATAAAAAAAAACTAGCTATAACCAACACCTTACCTGTCTGAGCCTAATGTAGCAAGATACTGGTTGAGGGGGTCCCAAGACACGCCTTGAACAAACCCTTTATGTTCTGCGAGTAAGCCTATGTTTTTACCTAGAAGATAAATTTATTCAGTGTCACCTCATACTTCTAAGACAGACAGATTTGACAAGAAATGTCTCACACACCACAGTTTGTGTAAAAATTATTTCCAATTCGGTGCAACACCAAATCAAAAACTTTTTTAAATTTATCTGTAGCTCGTGATTGATGAAAAATAAGGTATGTGAAACAAAATATTACCAATTTAGTTGTTTCTACAGATCTTATGGTACTGTAAGCTTAATATATTTATCTACAAATGATTTTCGCTATTCGAAGCCATACAAATTTAGGAATAAATGAAATAACCACGAACCTCGGAGGTCCCTACATAGTTATTATTTGCTCACCATTTGGGTTTTACACCTTAACCAAGAGCTTAGTTTTCTATAATCAACTTTCACTCAAATTAAGAAGAGTTCGTAACTAGGCAATGGAGAGATGAATATAGAACATTTCTGATGCAGACGTAAAGCTGAAATGTTTGGTGAATAAAACTCTTAATACGAACTTCTTAGGTTCATGGATGTTTCATTTATTCCTAACTTCGTGTACTATATCTTGGTTAGCATTACATAAAACAAATTTATAGAATATTGGGTAATTTAATAGATAAAGAGAAGAAAAAAATTTCATTTACAAACAAATTATTGAGTTTTATGTTATATAGCTGTTTGTCTCAGTGCTATACCTTTCTGAACATCCCACAAGATGGCACTATTGTCTACTGACCCCGAGATAATATAGTTGCTATCTGGTGCCCATGAAAGATCACAGATGTCTTCAATGTGTCCTCTGGTGGCAGAAAATAGAAACCTCAATTAGCAAATTTTGTGCAGATCTAAAAGTAAATAAGATAATTAAAAAAATTTCTCGACAATGAAAATACGTGTATCAAAATAACGGCGTATCGGGTATTATCACAGTTGAGTGCTTTCAGTAGAGAGATATCCATGCTTCTATTGTTCGAAGGAATTCATAATATCCACAATATCGCTTCTAACTTTGCTTATTAGTATCAAAACGTTCAAATGAATGAACTTAAAATAAAGAGCTAGAAAAAAAAACCACAGATATTTCTTACAAATGTTACCAACTCAGAAAATATCACATTTCATCTCTACTGTAAATTTTTGAATGAAACACAAACATAAGCTAGATATTTTCTGTCACCCTGAAATGAGATTTTCGAACTCTGTTCAGAAGCTGTGTATTTAATCATGAACACAGAATCCATTTTTCTGTTGCATCTGACAATTTAAGTTCTAAAAAAAAAGTATTTCAATTTTTTATCTTTAATTCTATGCATAATTTTGTATTAAAAACCGGGAATGCTCGTTCGGGAGGTTAGATATGTTAGATGATTCCGTTGTCCAGACTAGAGTAAATGCCGATAATTAATATTAAACTGTTATTGATAAATGGTTAAACACATTACCATACTACTGCTGCTGTGTATTTATATCATTAAACTGTTAAATATTGGAGGCTTCACACCTGCATTAGTGTCGAATAATATAGCAAGATTTCCATTTCACACCTGCATTAATTTGGAATAATATAGCTAGATTTCCATTTCACACATACATTAGTGTGGAATAACATAGCAAGATTTCCATTTCACACCTGCATTATTTAATGTATGTGTGAAATGGAAATCTTGCTATGTTATTCCACATGTGTGAAATGGAAATCTAGTTATGTTATTCCACACTAATGCATGTGTGAAATGGAAATCTTGCTATGTTATTCCACACTAATGTATGTGTGAAATGGAAATCTTGCTATGTTATTCCACACGTTATAATGAAGTACAAAGCTCATTTCCCATTACACAGTATAAGCCAATCGTGTAAAATAGTATGTATTGGTAAAGGGTAGTTATTATTCCAAAAGTCCTAAGAATCGATAAATTTTCCAAGTTTCGTTTTGTGTCAAATGATGGAAATCTAGTTATATTATTCCACACTAATGCAAACTTGGTACACCTTATTCAGTAGTTTCTTTTATTAATCACTGTTTTAATTATATATCTCACAAGTAAAGCTTTAAAAGGAGACATTTGTTCTGTAAAAATAGGTTATACAGGTTTTAAACAACTGAGCCTATCCAGGATATTAGCAAGAAGTAATTTTTTATTACTCCTTTTTAGGCCTGTAGTTGGACAGTCGCAACGTCAATGATGTCAGTAGTCTCCTTTAAAAAAGGTTCTACACGACATTTTTCCAATGTGCCTCTTATTGTTTTTGCTCTCTTTTTATCTGTAGCACAAAGACGTCTTCCTTACCTAAGCATTTTGAACACACCCCAGTGTTCCTTGTTCTGCACTTCGTCTTCGACAAAAATGTCAGGTTGTTCCTTCTCCTGCTGCTTCCAAAGAATTAAAGCAGCCTCTGAAAACAGCGATTGGTAATAATGACAAAATTCTTTGGCATATTCAATGAAACAAGAAAGATATAAATGTCAAAATGTTGCTGTACTGATACGATAAAAAGATTAAACTTGTTCTTGTCAATGGTATCTTTTTCTTACCATATTCATGTTTAACTACTGAAAAAAAAAGACAAAAAAAATATAATAACCTGAATTGGGTTTAACAAGACACAGACAAAATAAAAATGCCAAGATATCATGCTGAGTGTTTTTAGCTCAATTGTGCATAAGAGATACATCAGTGTTAACAAAATATATTAAAATACATGTTATCATTTAAACATCAGTTTTCTGTTAAACATAAAGACATAAAAATTATGAATTATATTTGCACAGTTAGCTTTGAATGTGAAAAAGTTAGGACTAACTTTATTGAGATTATGCCACAAACATTTTTTTTTATTCCCAAATGTAATAACCAAACTTAATCTCTTTTTTCCTATTTCCAAAGATAGAATAAAAAAGAAACACTTACTATTACTTATATATTTTTTAAATGAATACCATATTATCTAATAAGAAAAATCAACTCACCATCATCGCCTGATGCAAGAATTTCACCTTAACAAAATACAAAAAGTTTATGTATTATATGTTTTCAGAAGGTGAAGGAAAAGAACTGTATATTTTCATAAAAGTTTTTGAAACAATTCAAACTTCAGGATAAATAGCTAAACTTAAAGGTTCTATATAAGATAATCCTGAATCAGTGTAGGTAAACAACTTCCAGATCTTGGTAAGTCACTTCAAGGTAACAACAATATTATATAATATTAAACAGCCAGGTGAGTAACTGTTTGTTACAATATCAGTGTAGGTAAACAACTTCCAGATCTTGGTAAGTCACTTCAAGGTAACAACAATATTATATAATATTAAACAGCCAGGTGAGTAACTGTTTGTTACAATATCATAGTAACCTATTTAATTCTAATATTGACTAGTCTTCTTGAAGATTATTATAAGGAGCATAAAATTCAGTAGAGACATAAGTGATGCCGTTTAAATTTGTTAGATACACAGCATTGTCTTGTTATACTCATAACGTCATTTATTAGGATTGGATTAATAGAAACTTCAGAAAGCTTTTGGTGAGGTGTTGCATAAAATATAAAACAGTTGGAGTTGGGGATAAGTTAATATTAAATCAGATGAAGTAAACAATTTATTATTGGAGTTCAGTGCCTTTGGGATCAGTGCCCTTCTTCATACACATTAAGTACATTGGTTGAAAACTAGGTAAGTCAGCTAATGATAATAACAACCTTAGGTCTGGCTGTTAAGAGGATGCTGTGTAATACAAGGTTTTGTCTCTGGGCCATTAAATCTATGTGAACGAAGAAGAGGAGCTTGGGTTAGTGGCTGGCACTATATATATTCTATTGAAATGATAGAACTAACAATTTTAGTGCATGTATGTGTGTATATATATATATATATATATATATAAAGGAGAATTGACTAAACTAAGGATGTCGTGTTTTCTTCATATAAATCCCGAGTTATATCTTGTTGGAATACTGTTCACAGTTTTTGGTTCCCTCATCTTAAGAAGGGCTATTAAGAAGATTCCAGGGATGGATGGGTTGTCATGTGAGGTTAGCTCGAGATCACTCATCTTCTCTCATGAAGTGAGAATTAACTCCATCAACACGGGTCACGGGTGAAAGGCCATGTCATCATGTTTGTTGACTCGCAATCAAAATTTTATTCAACTACTATTTTATGAATTGGAAGAATTGACACAATTTAAGGGTGATTTAACCCTATCAACACGGGTCAAAGGCCATGTCATCATGTTTGTTGACTCGCATTCCAAATTTTATTCAACTGCTATTTTATGAGCTAAAAGAATCGACAAGATTGAGTCATAGGATTTTACCGTATTGAATTCCACAGGCATTAGAATAAGGGGTCATAGATTTAATACTTGGAACGTTCACACGTATCTCTAGTTAAGGCAGTTTTATTCCTCTCGTAGGGTGGTAAATCTGTTCAACATACTGCCAGCTAGTGGTAAAGGCTACAATTTGACAGGAGTATAAGGATTTATTTCAGTCTTCAAACACATGTAAAGCTAATCATGGACCTTCATAGAAATTTTTTCTTTCAAGAGAGAGAGAGAGTTCATTTTACATGACTGCTTGTTCAGAACTGAAGCGTTATTCAGGTTTAAAAGAACATCTACGGAAAGGTTTCGACAGATAATTTGGGAAAAATTCAAAATGGTTTCTGAACTTATTTCAATAAATGAATTCTATTCGTATATAAATTGTGATGTAATGTGGTGAAGATTAAAAATGTTTATGACAGATAAAACAGAATTTTTTTAAAGAAAATTATATTCTTATTTTCACCAAGAGAATGACTTACCACTTGGGGCAAACCTGACAATGTTGACAGGTTTTGTATGACGGCTAAGATCGGCAACACATTCCACACCTATGTTACCAGCTGTGGTTACACTCCAAACCTAAATATAAAAACAATAAATCTTAGAGATCTGCAAAGAAGTGAAAATTGAACTTATCAGAAATACACATTATTTGACATACCTTGCTTTGACACATTATTACAAACTAAACGAATCGAAACTGGGTACAGCATGAAATGTCTTGAATCTTCTAGAACATTTTAGGAATTAAAGACATTATACATAAAACACTTCTCCTGTCCCTAAATAACACACAGTCTTCACTGGATTTAAACCTATTGTAACTATTTCACTTGTGCCTCGGTTTTCACTTTTTCGTGTTATATTTGATTTGTTTATTTCTTATGAATATATTTTATGCATTAAGATAACACCAAGAACTAAACTACCTGCATATTTTGTTTTATAAGAAGGTTCAGTATCATGTTTGGCTGTTGAAAGAATTTTAAAGTTTGATAGAGAAATCGGATGTCCTGTTTCTGTTGATAGATAGCGGAGTTGGGAGGGTTTGTAACCTTTCTTCCAGTTTTTATAGATATGCCCGTGGGTTCACACGCTCGTACTTGAAGGAGACGTTTTGTTTCACCGATATTAAAAAAAAAATATATATATGGATTTTTAATGATAAAATGTTAATATTTGTGTGAATTGCGTTAATATTGAATGCCTA